TGGGGTTTTTGTTTCCATGCTGCTATACACACGACATGCCTTGGACGATTTGTGGACGATAGTACTGATCCAACCGTACCAGCGTTGAACAAAGTGCACGCCGACCGCTAGATCAAGGATCGTGCAGTGTTCGGCTGGCATGCATCGGCTGCGTAGTAGTTCCGTTTTTGTTTTGGGAGGGGTTCCGTGGGGAGGTGGGAAGAAAGGGTGGGGGATCGCAGTGACGGTGCGCGCGTGGAGGGCAGTATCGGGATTTCAGCGTTGCCGTGGGTGCGCCGCTTTTGCGCGCCGCCTCCCCTTGGAAAGGCCAAATTACGTGCGAGCCCGTTTCGGGCGCCTCTCGTACGTTTGATTTACGGTTGTGAAGATTGATTCTTGTAGTTGATTTTGATTTGATCGATTCATGGGGCTCAAAAGTGAAAACCGCATGGTTTCTCTTTCGATGATGAGCCGCTTGCACTAGCCTTCCTACCTACCTACAAACATTTCCGTCCACTTCATCGAAACTCTTCAAAAGAACCATTTGGTTTCCTCTACACAAACAAGCATCCTTTCATTTGTTATATTACAGTTGAAAAAGATGGCATTGCATTTTTGATCATGCGTTCTTTTGTCTATTCAACCTTATGGATAACGCGAACATAAATAAGTTGTTACAGGTGGTCATGGCACGAGAAGGTGACTGCATGGACTACTTCTCTCCAAAAACATATATATTGATGTGTTTTTGAAAAGTGGGGAGGATGACATATGGAGATTGACAGACGTGTACGGGGGAGCCGAGGTGGAGGGATAAACATCTAACTTGGTAGAGACTCGGAGAGTTTGCATGTGTGTGTGATATGCCTTGGATGGCGTTGGGGTGACTTGAGCCAAATTATGTATCCATTTTAAAAAGGAAGGAAATGTTCGGCTAGAAAGATATATGCAAACTTCAGAGATGTCGTACAAGACTGTAAAATCTCGGACTTCCATTATGTTGGTGATCGGTACACATTAGCAATGAGAAAGTATTCATGAACGCCTTGATCATGCACTCACGAACGGTAATGTGGAATGATACATTTGTTAATGTTGTTCTATAAAACCTGGAGTACATCAGGTCAGACTATAACCCGTACTGATACACAGGGATGAGACTAGCATCGAAGAAAAGCATGGACTAGTTGTATTGCGTTTTGATGTTCGATGTCCGTCATTTGAGGGTAAAATGTATTCATAGAGTGTTAAATGCATTGTTCCGGTTGACCAACAAGGTCATCTTAATAACCCTTATGCTCCGTTTGGATGTTTACATTCAGGCCTAGTATTGGGTATTGGCATTTGTCTGGGCCTAGTATCCCGAATGCCACCGTTTGGTTGGTCTTGGCATTCAGTCGTGGCATTCGGGCTCGATATTGAGCGGTCCGTCCCTAACGCAAAAAACTGTTGGCCCAATTCGGAGCCTGTGTGCTCGACATCGCTAGGCATTGGGTGGGATTCAAGGGGATAGCGTGCTTATCTGTTCGCTAACGAAACCAACCCAGCTTCGTACCTCCCGTCTCGACGAACGGCGGCGGCGCCCATCCCGCCAGCCTCCACACCGAGCCCCGGCAGCCGGCGTGCCTGCACCTCAAGATCCGGTGGCCGGCGCCACCCTCCCGCCTCGTCTCCACCCCAAGATCCAGCGGCCGACGCCACGTTCCCGCCCCGTCGGAGCTCTCTAGCAGTCGGCGCCACGTTCCCGCCCCGCTAGAGCTCTCCAACGACCGGCACCGCCCTCCTACCCCGCCATGATCTCCGGCGACCGGCGTGCCTCCACCACGAGCTTTGCCGCCCCGCGCAGGTGTGTTGCTGACTGGCTCCTTCCTCTCTTCGTAGAGCTCCGACCATCTCCCCTCTCCCCTGTCTAGCGTCCAGCCTCCTCTTTGCTCGATCTCCCGACAAAGTCTCATACAACTCAATGCCTCACATTGACAACCCAAACAACATTTGGCATTCGACCTCAATATCAAGTCTGTGTTCCGAATATCTAAGCATCCAAACAAAAAAATTGACATTCAATCTCAATACCAATATAGTGTGATATTGATATTCAACCCAATGCAATGCCAAGGCTCCCAATGCATACATCCAAACATAGCGTTAGTCTTTTTATGGGCCCGAAGTAAGTGGGTCGACTGTATATGCGCGCCGCCTCCCCTTGGAAAAGCCAAATTACGTGCGAGCCCGTTTCGGGCGCCTCTCATACGTTTGATTTACGGTTGTGAAGATTGATTCTTGTAGTTGATTTTGAGTTGATCGATTCGTGGGGCTGAAAAGTGAAAACCGCATGGTTTCTCTTTCGATGATGACCCGCTTGCACTAGCCTTCCTATAAACATTTCCGTCCACTTCATCGAAACTCCTCAAAAGAACCATCTGGTTTCCTCTACACAAACGAGCATCCTTTCATTTTTTATATTACAGTTGAAAAGATGGCATTGCATTTTTTATCATGCGTTCTTTTGTCTATTCAACCTTATGAATAACGCAAACATAAATAAGTTGTTACAGGTGGTCATGGCACGAGAAGGACGACTGCATGGACTACTTCTCTCCAAAAACTCGATGATGCATTTGCTTATTGAATTAAGTGCTTGTAGATTTTAAGGCGTCGGAGATGGATCACAAAGAGGTTGTCTACTGTGATTGGAGGAGTGGCGGCTTGGTATTATTTTGGAATGAGGAGGTGGTGACTTCTCTTAGGCATAAGACACCGGATTATATTGATGTGTTTGTGGGAAGTGAGGAGGATGGCATATGGAGATTGACACACGTGTACGGGGGGCCGAGGTGGAGAGATAAACATCTAACTTGGCAGAGACTCGGAGAGTTTGCATGTGTGTGTGTTATGCCTTGGATGGTGTTGGGGTGACTTGAGCCAAATTATGTATCCATTTTAAAAAGGAAGGGAATGTCCGGCTAGAAAGATATATGCAAACTTCCGAGATGTCGTACAAGACTGTAACCTCTCGGACTTCCATTATGTTGGTGATCGGTACACATTGGCAATGAGAAAGTATCCGTCATGCACACACGAACGGTAATGTGGAATGATACATTTGTTAATGTTGTTCTAGAAAACCTGGAGTACACCAGGTCGGACTATAGACCCATACTGATACACAGGGATGAGACTAGCATTGAAGAAAAGTATGGACTAGTTGTACTGTGTTTTGATGTTCACTGTCCGTCATTTGAGGGTAAAATGTATTCATAGAGTGTTAATGCATTGTTCCAGTTGACCAACAAGGTCACCTTAATAACCCTTAGTTTCTTTATGGACCCGAAGTAAGAGGGTGGACTGTATATGAGAGACAAGCTTTTTAACCACGTCTCTCTACATAGGGCATACATGCAAGAACATGAACTAGAGAGTGACCCCAATCAATATGCAACAAATAGGCTCTAAAAATGACATGGAGTCCACTCAAGGGAGTCTCTCATATGACTCTTGTGATGATGGTCTGAAACAACAAAGGACTTATGATAAGCAAGAAAATTTACTGATCGAAGTAATAGAGACAAACCAGACCATGACTAATGAACATAAGTTTCTTCAGTCAAAGTTTGAGGACGTCACTTCTCATCACGAGGCTCTTTCATCCGGTCATGAGAAGCTTACTTTTAAATTCCCCAAAAGGAAGCAAGATCTCAAGAAACGAAAAGTGGCTCGTGATTATTTAATGACTGAGAGTGACCCTCACTCGCACGACAAATTAGTGCTAGTCAAGAAGAATTTGTTCCTCCTTGCCTAAAATACTTGGAACATGAGAATGATAATTCATCGCCTAAATCATCAAATGCTTCTCATATTCTATCTCAAATTCTTCAAATGCAAGAGTGGTAACTAACTCCTTATCCGAGGAAACCACAAACAAGATTAATGTCAATTCCATGTTGAAGACACTGCTTGAGACGTGAATATTCAAAAGTCTCAAGGGGCTTCAAGCCCTTTGTGACACTACTTGACACATGAATGCTCAAAATTGTCGAGGGACACTACTTGAGAAAGGAATGTTCAAAATTCACTTGGGCCAGATTAATTTGGCAACTAGGGTCTAGCAATGCTAGAGTGGAAAATGGAATGACATTTCATGCAATCTAGAAGTATCTTTTTATCTACCCCTAAGCTTGATAGTCTTGTATTCTAGAAAGCCCTTGCAATTTATTTACAGGATGCATATAATGTAAAACACTCTAAAGTTTTATAGATATGAAACATCCAATGGAAAATATACACACAAAGACAGAGCTAATATTGATTCTTTTTTCTCTGTGATGAAACCCACTGGATCCATACAGTTTCTTAAGCATCACAAATTAAATGAAAAATATATGCTACAACAAAGTATAATTTCATGTTGGTGCTAGATAAAGTAATTAGAAATATAAATAGTGGAAAATTATAACAAATATACAGTATAAAATAATTAGTATATTGAATAATCGATATAAATAGAAATAACATATTTGTAATGACAATATTAGTCATCTCAAAGTAAAAACGTTCAGTATAAACTAGTACACTTCAACACGA